CACACACACACACACACACACACACACACACACACACACACACACACACACACAATAGACAAATAAATACAGAATCATTTTTAGGGATGGGAGGATTAGCCACTGGGGAGATCAGGAAAAGGCTTCATGTAGGAAGTACCACTTCAGCTCTTAAGTGGACCGTGTCATCTGGCCAGATGGCAAATGTGTTGTCCTCCCGGCAGAGGGTAGTCTACTTAGCCTGAACTATTCAGCAATTCTATTTTCATTCCCTCCATCAAAGATAAAAGTCAGGTTTTAGCTGATAAAACTGTCCTTGAGGGACAGTACAAACCTTCTTCCTAAGATGGATGAGTACATGGTCAGTTTGAAACTGCCTTCATTCATGCTGACCTGACAGCTGACCAAGCAAAACATCTGAGACTTAACAAAAAGGCAGGCCATTTAAACTCAATTATAACAGATACTGATAGACCATATTGCAGAGGACCAGTCCACCCACAACCAAATAACTTTTATAGAAATATTTTAAAAAATTAAAAACTTCAAAAAAATCCGAGATGTGTATAATTCAGTGTCACATATAACCCATTGTGTGTCCTGTTCATATTTGCTGACGTTTGTCAATTCTTTTTAGAAAGAATTCCGTCCAATGAATGAAACAATTACATAATTTGTTGATTTGTATTAGGTATGACTCATGGATAAATGTCCTTGGTAAGCTCTTAACAAGCTTCCAGAACTAACTGGAACAAAACACTGTACACGCTTTTACGTAACTACCACAGACAAGGACGTCATTTTTTTATAACGGTTAAGTCTATTAGTTCCAGCAAGTACCCAAAGGCAGTTTGCCTTCCTAATAAACCTCAAAAGCACTAAAACCTCCTGCAAAGCCGTCTGAAACAATACAATCAAGTCTCTCAAGTTAGAAGGAAGCGGTTTGTCTTAGTCCAGGGAACAAGCGACTGAAAGATAACATTAAGTCTAATAACATTAGATGGTCAGGCCTCGCCCACTTGGTTTCACCACCAGTCTTTAATCCAGTTTGTTCCATAGGCCCCTTACACAAATCCTCTCCTCTAGCTACTATTCATCCCCAAGATCATACGATGTGCACTTCTGCCTGCATTTTCCTTGACCTAAGTGATTTCCTCTTTCCTATCTAAATCCTCCCCTTCCTTAGAAGTTCTAGCTCTTTTGTGAAGCCTTCCTTGACTGTCTCACACTAGGGATCTCCTCCTCCAAGGCCACCATTGACACGGCTCACACATGCCATACATACCGTGTTACCCTCACTCAATTGTCCCTAGTGTTCAGCCAGTTTTATGATTACAGTATATTTGGGAGTCTTGCCCCTTCCCTCCTTTAGTTACTCTCTATGGTTTCCTCAACTTTCCTAAAAAGCTATGGTAAGATGTAAAGAGGTTCCCTCTAGTAAAGGGAAGCCAGAGAAAAGGAAAACAAAATAAAGGAAAAGTAATAATTTGCATTTATACTGAACCCTTTCATCACAACCTTTAAGTAGGTAGTCCAAGTGATATATCTCCACTTAACAGATGAGGAAACAGGATCAGAGGTTCAATGATGTGCTCAAAAGTACATACCAGCTAGTGGGGGAGCAGTGACAAACTTGGGCTTCCCAAGGGTAGCACTCACACATGCCCTTCAGTCATCTTCTGCTGCCCCACCGCAGGGGGTGGGGTGATGGTGAGGTTCAGGGACTTACCGAGTTATTACCCCTAACTAATCCACTATAAAAAGGTCACCTGTCTCAATCCTTTATGCAGGCCCTAAACAGAGGGTATTGGTGCTGCAGTGAATCTCCTAAGGTCTTGTATTTAGGGAAGTAGAGTCACTAGCCTCTTTCTAATAGACAATAGCATCTACCTCAAAGAGCTATTGAGTCCAAATGAAATAAAATGTAAAGTATTTTACAAACCTTAAAGCACTATCCAAGTGCTAGCTATTATACTCCTTCCTACCAGCTCTTTCACTGTTAACATGACTTCTAATTGCCAAAAGATCCTTCTTCTTGCAAAAGAACTAAAGAGGTGTATTACCCTATCTACAGCAAGGCTTCTAGGCATAACAAACCTTTCAATCTCGAGTAATTTGGCTTGAAAAGAAAGCACAGGAACCCACTTGGGATTTCTGATATGAAAAAAAAAAAAGGCAACAGTAAGATTTATTAGGTGAGGTAGCTGATGGCTCAGTGGACACAGCACTGGGCATGGTGTCAGGAAGACCTGAGTTAAAATCCAGTCTCAGACACTTCCTAGCTTCGACCTTGGGCAAGTTACCTCACCTCTGACAAAATGAATTCGCTGGAGGAAATGGCAAACCACTACAGTAGCTTTGCCAAAAAAAACTCCAAATGGGGTCACGAAGAGTCAGACAGACTGAAACGAATGAACAATCACCACAAAGGCATCGGGTGCTCATGGCAGGTGTAAACATACATTTTGAAGCTGGGCTAGTATGAAATTTGATTTTATACATCTAGAGCCTGAAAGAAAGACACTGGATGATGATAGTCCAAGGCAAAGACTCACATTATCCAAAAAGAATTCCTGGATGAACTCAAATAATATGAAAACCTATTTCCTCCACTAACAATTAGAAAACCAGCTAAACATTTTACCAGGTTAACATTTTCCACACAAAAAATAGACAATACTCATCTTGATTCCTACTTCTGAGTCTTTCTCTTATGAAAACCCATTCAAGCTTTGGGTGGACAGCTCCCAATTAGACAGTAACTCTTTGTGGATACAGTCAACTTTTCTGACTTCTCCACCATGCCCCCAGCAAGCTCATCACTGGAAAATCTCATCCTGCAAACATCCAATCAGCCTTGTTACTCACATCTTATCAGCACCCTCTGCCCCCTTTCCCACAGGCCAGACATCTCAATTCTCACCAGGATGCACTCATTCTGAATTTCTTTGACTTCACCCTTCCATGTATATTCCCCAACTCACTTTTTAGCTCTTTTGTGTAGTCTTCCACTAGATTGTAAGCTGCTTAAGGGCCTATATTTTCATATTTCAATCCCCACTGCACTTACTATAGTAGGCACTTTATCAAAGTTTACTGACAATTTACTGAGATGGACCCATGGTAATATGCTGTCACTACATTATATGATTGAAATGCTTTCAACATTCATTATCTCAAGGACAAATATTACTATACTCAGGTTACAGACTAGGAAACAGAGTTGGAAAGACTGACCTGCTATTGTCAACACACCATTACATGGGGAAGTTTGGACTATAATCCATATCTTATGACTACAATCCAGAGCTCCTTCCACTATGCCACTATAACATACTATCCTACAGGAATCTCGGAAAAAAAAAAACAAAACTAAAAATGAATAAAGTAGGTTAAGGAACTAGGAAATGAGGCAAATGTAGGTATCAAGGACTGGTTGGAGGGAGGGGACGCATCCTGGCCCTTGCTACCAGCAGAGGGGAACACAATGTGGTAAGAGATAGGGCAGGAGCAAGAAGCATAACTGCTATGACCTTTTTTTTGCTACTTGGCTCTTCTAAGCTTTGAAAAAGATGTGTGAATGGAGTATCGGTCAAATAAACCAAATGACACTGGAAGAGCGAACAAGGAGGAGGGACTTTAAAAGGAAATAAATTTCACTTGCAAACTGAGCAAATTCCATGTTTTACCCAGGAAATCATAAGCCAAAATTGTAAAAAGATTTAGGGAACCCCGTGTCAATAATAAACCAAGAGAAAAAGAGAAACAGCATCTACCCATGCAAATACATGTTGACAATGCTTTCCCAAAGAGTACACGTAACACTTATGCTTAATTTTAATTTTTAATTACAACTGTATAACAGACCATTTTATTCTTGCATCTTTTCAATAGTTTCTTCTTTATATTTGCCCTTCTCCTTTCCAACTTGTCGGGATTTGGCTTTACGCTCAAGAATCTTTTTGCGATCTTTATCCAGTTTTAGTCTGGTAATAACTACCTGTTTAAAAAAAAAATCAAAAAACAATTATTCCTTCAATTTAAGACAAAATTCACAACAGCTATGACATATGAGAAAACTGAAACTTCCAGAATTTATATATATATATATCCTTTCCCACAGGGACTGTAGATATTGTTATTCTCTTTAAAAGAGAATACAATCTTGAGTGATTGCTGTTTACTGTCATTCTGGAGAGACAGTTAACTGTGACTCTGGTTAATTGTGAAGTCTGGAAAGAGACTATGAGAGGACAGAGAGAAAGGACTTTGAGAACTTTTCCTAAATAGTTTTAATTTTTATGCTGCAAAAACACATTATGATGGAAATTCTTGATGGGAGACTTTAACTAGCATCCTGAGAGCTGAGCAGTGGAACCGGGATTCCAAAACTAACCAGCAGCAGCCCAGTACGCCTCATTAGAGGTAACTAACTGGCTGTGAGTGTTCTCACAGCTGACACACTATAATTACTTACATTCTTGTTTTACTGTTGTCACACTGTGAATAAATTCTAGAGCCAGTAACTTCCATGTTTAAGCCTAGGAGATTGCAGGGTTTGATGAACAAAAGTTTATGGGGAAAAAATATTTCTCAAGTTTTCACTTTAATAAATAGGTAGGATCTCAAACCTAAATGGTTAATTAGTATGACAATTGTAATAATTAATAAGGAAATAGCAGCACATATATCCCTGGATTGCCTTAGAACTTGAGATAAGAATGAAGAAGAGAATGAATCAGAAGCAGGGAAAGGGGACCACGCTAGGTCGCCCAAGCTGACGGTTGTCAGCTCTGAAATCCTGCTACACTCAATACGAGTTTCTAATTGGGATGGGGGGGGGGGGGAGCAGGAGTGGGGAGCAGCAGAGTGGTGTCCTGGACAGAGACCTGGCCTGAGAGTGTGGAAGACTTAAGCATCAAGATAACACAGTAGATGGAGTGATAGGCCTGGAGTCAGGAAGACCTCAGTTCAAACCTGGCCTCAGACAAACTAGCTGAGTGACTTTGGGCAAGTCACTTAACCTATGTTGGCTATTATTACAACCTGGGTTCAAGTTATGCCTCTGCCATACTAGCTATGTGACCATGAAGGCAATGCATTTCCCTTCTCTACTCTTCAGGCAGCTCTCTAAAACCTTAAATTACAAAGCTGCTGATGTGCACTAGGGGGAGAATTCCTCACACTGGGGAGATCACAGGGATGGACAAAAATAAAATGCACCAAACAATAATTTGCCTGAAACACAGGATTCCAAAAATTTTAAATTAAGGTCTAGTGACTAACTTTATTGATTTTCCCAAAATGTAACTTCCCTTGTAACTCATGCCTTAGGGTATGAATAAGGACAGCATGGCAAGTTAATAGCTAAGTCCTGTTATAGTAAATTACAAACTGGGGAACATCTTCTATTCCACCACGCTAAACAAAATTATAAAAATCCATTCTATTGCACAATTGTCCCTTCTCTAGTTACTCCTCCACTCCCACATTGTCTCTCCGTTTTGAAAGAAAAACAAGAGTCTATAATGGCCTCAGGTTCAGAAGGCTTTTTTAAAAACAGAATAATGAAGGCAACAAAACACTGATTTTGTAATTAAGAAAGCAGAATCATACTGACTTAGAAGACATCTTAGATGTTATTTCATCTAATCCAAAGTTAAGAGAGGACTTGCCCAAAGTCACACAAGGAGTTTGTGGCAAAACAAATACTAAAATTTTTGTGTCACTTGTATCACCATGATTCTAGTCACTCCTAAGTAATCTTTGCCTCCTCCAACATGCTATTAATTTCCCTGTTTACCAGTCCAGGGCTCTTTCAATTACAGCAGACTGTTCCCCTTCATGACCTCTCAGAGTAGACATCCTCCCACCTGCCAGTGAGGCTCAAGAATTCTGGGATTAGGATCTTCCAAGGATGCTGCAGGTCTAGAAATCGAATACTTTCACTCCAGCCTCAAAACCAGTGATCTCCAGGCCCACATTTCCAAATACCTATTTCGACTTATCACCTCTATGTCCCACCAAAGCATCAAACTCAACACATTCCAAACTGAACTCATCATCTTGGTCCTCTCTTGCCTCTAACTGGCTCCTTTACAATCTCTCTCATCTGTCCCCTACTTTCTCTTCCTACTAAAGTCACCAGCTTTCAGGACTTCCTTGCCTCAACCATGACAATCTTATCCTAGGAAAAAGGTAACTATAACTCAACTGACAGGAGATGTGATGTAATTATCCCTTACTTTGGTGTATAGCATTTTACAGTGTAGAACTACTTCCACACACATGATACAAAAACTCTTGAGATAGACAGTGATTTCTAGCCCTCACTTTGTAAATGAGGTAGCTATATATTAAATGGCCAGGCCCAGGTCAGAAGTGGGTCTAGGACTCAAGCTAACTTGAACTAGGAATACTACTATTGTATACCTATTCTCAAAGACACAGTTTGGGTTTTGGTAGGCATGCCATGAATAGAACTCATACTTGCAATCTCCTGGTCCCAACCTTAAATACTGCGCCAGATTCCTTGTGCCAAAAAATAAACTATTCTATTAGCAAAAAGTCTGAGAATGCCACCTTTACAGGGACCAAAACTTTAGACAGGAATAATCATGCCACAATTATTGTTACCAGCTACCTAAATCATACCTTACTAGGGTGAATGCCCACATGAACAGTTGTGCCATTAGCTTTTTCACGCTGCACACGCTCAATGTAGATGACGTATTTCTTTCTGTAAACCTGGACTACCTTGCCAATTTGCTGACCTTTGTAGTGTCCACGAACCACCTGTAAATAAAATAAGAAAAAACTCTCATCAATTTCTAATGTATTTAATTCATGAGGTATGATTAATTATTTCATTTTGGGAGTCTAATCAAAATGTGAAATTTTTATTCGCTAATAAAGTAAGAACAGGAAATATATGGAAAAAAAAAAGCATATTTCCAACCACCAATCTCAGGCAGTTAAATTTGCAACTCTTTGGTTTAAATTTGGTCTGTCATTCAGGTTTGAAAAAACAACAACCAGTTTTATTTGATTTACTCAGAATCTATTCAGTAGACATTTCTCTTTAAGTGAATGGAAAAGAATTCCTTGGACTGAGTTTCTGCCTCAATACTATTCAAAAGCATAGTAAGAGGTACGACTAGACACTAAGCAACTCGAAGGATAATATCTTATTTTGATTTGTATTCTCCTATAGCTCTGTGCTCTACTCACTACTAAGAACAGGAAAAAATGCAGCATGGAATGTAATTGCAAGGCAGAAAAAGAAAGGCTACTTGTTTTACTACATTACTGCCAAGTAAAAAGGCTACTACCAATATACCATGATGCCTCACTGCCTGCCACAAGCCTTTCCCAGTCCATCCTCTACCTAACTGTCATGGATCTTTCTAAAGCACAAGTTTACCCCTCTCCCAGCCAAGAAATTCTAGTGACTCCCTATCACCTCCATGATCAAATATAAAATCCTGTTTGGCAATCAAAGCCCTTCATAACTCTCTCTCTCCCCCCACCTTTCCAGTCTTCTTACACCTTATATCATCCCCTCTACACCTACAATTCAATTCAATCCAGTGACATTGGCCTTCTTGCTGTTCCTCTAATTCTCAAGACTCCAGGCATTTTCAATGGCTTTACAACATGTATGGAATGCTCTCCCCTCCTGACTTCTTTTCTACAAGAAGCCATTTCTCTGTTAATTACTTCCAATTTATCCCATATATCTTAGCTGTTTTGTGTTGCTTCCCCCATTAGACTGTGAGCTTTTTGAGAGCAGAGCCTGACTTTTACCCTTCTCCGTATCCCCAGTGTTTAGCATAGTGCCTGGAACATAGGAGGAACTTAATAAATGCTTACTGACTGACTCCGTTATGAGGAGGTGACTATGGGTTCTCAATGCTATGGCAGAACCAATGCAAACTCTGGCTTGTCGGATCAAGCTAAAAAGATTTGAAGTGATGGATTCTGCATGTCATCCAAGGACCATTCCATCTAATTTGAAGAGGCAATCACCAAAGCCTAGCCACTAGGTGATTTAAGTTTTCTGGCCACAGTGACTCGTGGCAATGAGGAAGGTTTATCATTGGTATTCTTTTAGGGATAAACCAAATGAAAAATCCTCTTGAAGTACTAAAGATGGGAAAACTGTTTACACTGACTGTGCAATCTACAGAAGCATTTCTCAGGTTGAAAAGCAGTTATGCCTCCTTCAGAAGCACATAGGATAAGTCAGGCAGATGACTTTTCAAAGAAATTTAATAATAAATGGCCACTGTCAACAAGAATCAAGCTTGAAAGCTTAATTTACTGACAACTTCCAAAAGCCAAATTCATAAAGGACTTACAGGAATAGAGTACCTGAAAAATAGTCTTCTACTTACAAAAATGGCAGGCCACCACTTGCTCTTATCTTAAACATCTGAATCAGTTTACAAAAGTCCCTGAAACCAAACTAGCTTCCACTAATACTGATCTAAAAACATCTAGGCCACTTCATTATAACTTCTCCCTGTGGAAATTGGACAGGTCTGAATCCAAGTGTCCTCTTGCAGACAGCTAATTACTATAACGGTACTATTTTATACATTAATATTACATCGTATCACAACATAATTTCATAATTTATGTCATCATTATATTATATATTGATACATAACTTATATATAACAAAAATAATTGTACATACATAGTGTAACTAGTTAACATACTATGTGACGTGATTATTAATAACAACAAAGTTCCCATTTCCACCATGCCTTCAGGGGTTCCCCCTCCCATGCCAGGGGCGGGGGTCACTTCCAGTGGTTCAGGGTGGGCCGCGGGTCTGGCACGCACCTGGACCTCGTCGTCCTTCCGGATGGGCATCGAGCGGACGTTGTATTTCTGCCTCAGCTCCTTGGAGAGCGGGGACGACATGATCTTGCGCCGGATGTGCGAGGGCGCATTGAAGTGTCTCTTGCGGTTCTTGCTTCGGTCCGAGGTCACGAATGGATTGAACTTCATTTTGGCTAAACAAGGAGGAGGGGGGGAAGGAGGGAAGGAAAGACTCGCGTCTACGGCTTTTAAGGTCTTCCCACCCACCCCAGAAAGCAGGTACTGCTCTCCCCGTGAAACCCGGGAAGGAGCTGGCCGCAAGGCGAGGCCGCGTCGGAGCCTCCGGCCTCTGCCCCGGGGGGGAGGGCCATCATATCCCACGGCGCCGATAGCAGGACTCCCCTCCCACCCCCATCCCCCTCGCGCGAGGGGCAAGAGGCGGCCAGAGCGGCCAGCCCCTGTCCGGAGGTAGAGGGAGGCCAGGCACTCACCAAGCGGGGCCACCCGAAAAGAGACACGTGCGCCGCCCGGTACCGGAAATGTAGCTTGCTCTACATCCGGCGGCGCGGAGAAAAGAAGGTCCGAGCTCACCGACATCCGGCGGCCCCGGCGCGAGCGTCGCCACCGCGTGGCTCCCTGGAGCTACTGCAGCTCTGGAGGCTAGCCGAGGCTCCTGCCCGGAGAGGCATTGCGTGCGTGCGTGCGTGCCTGTCTATCAGAGTTGTCAGTGCGACCACTTTTTTTAAATGAAAAAAAACCTTCTTGATCACGTGGTACAATAAAAATTGGGGATAGACGAAGCTTTGGAGTCGCAAGGTTCATATTCTGATTTCGATGTTTACTGACTGTATGACCTTGGACAAATCATTTAACCCCCCCCCAACCTCATGAGGTTCCCTATGGGTAAAATGAGATTAGGTTAGATGTCCTCCGAGGTCTTATCCATGGATAATAGCTACCATTTATCAAGTGCCTACTGTGTGTCCTAAGCACGTTACAACAGGACAACCCTGGGAAATAGGTGCTATTATTATTCCCAATTTGCAACTGAGGAATCTGAGGCAATCAGCAGTTAAGTGACTTGCCCAGAGTCACATAGCTATCCCCATTTTTTGTTCAGTCATTTTCAGTCCTGTCAGACCCTTCTTGACTATTTAGGGTTTTCTTGGCAAAGATACTGGAATGGTTTGCCATTTCCTTCTCCAGCTCATTTTACAGATGAGGAAACCCGAGGCAAACAGGGTTAAATGACTTGCCCAGGGTCACAGGGATAGTAAGTGTCTGAGGCCAGATTTAAATTTGGGGATGATGAGTCTTTCTGACTCTAGGTCTGATGTTGTATCCACTGCGCCACCTAGCTGCCTATCATATTAGAAATTAAAACTGATATATTTAAAAATCATTAAAATAACAATAATAAACCCATAGAGTTAACATAACACATTTTATGAAAAATAACTACATTTCTCAAAAAAGATTTAGTGATGAGTGTCATTGTTTTAAATATTTTTGCAAATCTCTTTGATGTCCAGTGCTGGCACGTACTAGGTGCTCAGTAAATGTTTATTGATTGATTATCGATTGGTGTCTGACAATAGAAGACAGCTGGATTCTTGTATCTCTTTCTGCATTCAATCTGTTGAAAAACATTGTTTTGGTTGAGGTGAATGAAGAAAATCAGGCTTCACATAAATATGTAATTTGGATAGGTAAGTAACATCTTAGTATTATTATGATGATAGTTTTGACCTCCTGGTCACACCCCCTGAAAGGGTTGCCAGGAACCCCTGATCACACTTTGAGAACCGCTGGTTTATGGGGATACACAGATGTCCACAAGAACAGGACAAGACTGGGGAACAGTCAATAAAATGTAATGAGACTATGTTTTACCTGTAACAAAAAGTGCTTGAAGGGATTAGGGAAGTAAAGAACGTTGGAAATGACTAAACTCTTTAGGCAGGCTAAAGGACACTAACTAGCCTAGCAGTCAGGAAGTTCAGTTGTTGAGTCGTTTTCAGTTGTGTCTGACTCTTCTTGACCCCATTTGGGGTTTTCTTGGCAAAGATAATGGAGTGGTTTGCCATTTCCTTCTCTAGCTAATTTTAGATTTGAGGAAACTGAGGCATACAGGATTAAGTGACTTGCCCAGCGTTACACAGCTAGTAAATTTCTGAGGCCAGATTTCAGGTTTGACGGTCTAATTGGCTTGTGCCACCTAGCTGCCCCAGTCAGGGAACCTAGGTTTGAATCCTTACTTTGCTTCTGGTTAAAGGTGTAGATAAGTCTTCATCTCTCAGTTTTCTTCTCTAAAAAATAAAGGGATTAGATCCCTCTCCTATAACAGTAATCCAGTGGTGAGGCAGCCTGAAGAGAGAGGTCCCTAAACTCACACCAGGGCAGAGAGAAACTGACCTTCAGCTAAAAGGTACTTCCTGAAAATTTAGCTGAAGGAAGGAGGTGTTTTATGGAGCCTGGGATTTTCTAGATGTAGGGAGACAACGTGGTTTTGCCCAAATTTGTGCCAGCTGAACACGGAGCAAAAGTCGAGGGTTTTGTGGCTGGTAGATATCCATAACAAAGGAAGGAATGTGGACCAAGAAGGTGGAGGGCACGACCTCTTGTTCTTACTTGACTTTATTTGCATGCTAATTAAGAAGAGGAATTTGGGAATAAATTGGGCTTTCTGCCCCTCTGCCTACATGCCCTTCCTTTGGAACTTTGGGGGCAGAATCCCTGAAATGGGCGTTAGTGGGCTTGAGATCCTCTCAGGGGGCAGCGAGGTAAACAGGAATTACAAGGAAACTTCTGAACCTAAATCAGAGAGTGGTTTGAGGCAATGGACTTTGAACTGGCAGCAGGTACAAATAAGGAAAAATACAAGCTTGGAATCCACTTGAGGTGGAATTCTAAATAGCTTTTGCTAGCTAGGGGTTGTTTATTTCTTTCAGGTTTTTTATGGACTAAAACAGGTTGGCATGTCTTTGTCAGGAAGCACCTTTCTGGTCACTACACCTGGCACTGAGAAGAGCAGAGACAGAGTATGTGACCCATGAGCTCACTGGCCATAAGGCCATCAGAAAGAACTAGCAAAGAGTGGTGTTAAGATCATGAGAAATATTACTAATTTTTTGGTGCTAAAGATATGAGTAGGCTTGGTCACCAAGGTCCTTTCCTTCAATTTTTCCTTCCTATCCTGGCACCCCTTCCCCCCAATAAACTCCAGTGGCTCCCTATTGCCTCCAAGAGCAAATAGGCATGCTCTGTTGGGCATTCAAAGCCTTTCATAACCTAGCCCCTACTACCTTTCCAGGCTCCTTACACCTTAATCCCCTGTCTACCCCACTTAATTTTCAGTCCAGTGACACAGGCCTCCTACCTACTCCATGAATAGGGTGCTCCATCTCTGGGCTCTGGGCTTCTTCTCTGTGACTATCTACCGTGCCCTTTCATCAGTTCTTTTAAATCCCAACTAAAATCTCACCCTTCCCCAACTCCTCTTAATTCCAGCGCCTTCATTCTGTTAATTATTTCCTATTTATCCTGTGTGTAACTTGCTTTGTATATATTGGTTTGATTCTTGTCTCCCCCATTAGATTGTAAGCACCTTGGGAGCAAGGACTGTCTTTTGCCTCTTTTTGTATCCCTTGGGACAGTTCCTGGCACATAGTAGGCACTTAATAAATGTTTACAGGGAAGCTAGGTGGCGCAGTGGATAGAGGTCTGGCTTGGAGTTAGGAAGACCTGAGTTCAAATCCAACCTCAGACACTTGACACTTAACTAGCTGTGTGACCCTGGTCAAGTCACTTAATCCTGATTGCCTCACCAAAAAAGCAATAAATAGATAAATAAATGTTTACAAAGTGATTGGTTGAAGGTATGCTAGGCTGGCCACGTTGTTCGACTGTCAAACATACATTTACCGAAACAACTTTTACGGAAAATTCACATCAGGTAAGTGTTCACAATGAGGGCAGAAGAAGCAATACAAGGACACTCTCAAAGTCTCTCTGAAGAACTTTGGAATTGTATGATATGCGAGACACTAGCACAGGACCACCCAGCATGACATGCCCAAATTAAAGAAGGCGTTGTGCTCCGTGAGTGAAGCAGAATTGCAGTCGCTCAAAAGAAATGTGAGATGAACAAATTCAGAGACTTCACTCCAAATGTTCACACAGACCGTATGTGCCTGACTTGTGGTAGGGCCTTCTAAGGTTGTATTGGTCTGATCTCCCCCATTAGATTTTAAGCTCCTTGGTAGATTGTAAGCTGACTGGTACCGTCGGGACACACTGTACCTTGACCCCAATATAATGATGTAATTTCATTCCTATTCGAGACTGATGGACAACAACCAGCCAGTCAGTCAGGCACTGTGCTAGGTGTTGTTGTGGTTTGTCCTTCCTTCTAGAAGAGGACTGTGACATCAGGAGGGTGATGCCATGACTTGCAAGTGAATTAGATTTAAGTGAGGCAGGGCTGTGCAAAACCTCCAGCCTCACTCCTTCCTTCACAGTCATCCAGGTCCAGTGGCAAGATACAGATCAAGATGACTGGAGATGGCCCCAGACACAGTGAGAGACCTCGGCCTTTTTAAGCTAAGGTCTTTCTCAGACCTGTTTGTCTGAGACAACTCCCATTCAGTGATTAAGGCTAGGTAAAAATGAGGCAAAAGAATGGACTCTTTTACCTAGTCCAAAAAATAAATAAATAAAAATCAATCTGAGAGGGGAAGACCGTTAGGATTTCTGGCTCAAATAGAAACAATTGCTATGTACACTCATTCTGAGTGGGGATACAAAGAAAGGCAAACAGAAATTTTTGCTCCCAAGGAGCCAACAGTTTAATGGGGGAGAAGACATAAAATCAGTAGGGTACAAATAAGCTGTGTAGTAGATAAAAAGGAGACAATTAGCAGAGAAAAATCATTACATTTCAAGAGATCAGGAAAGGCTTCTTTTAGAAGGTGGGGTTTTATCCGGGACCTGAAGGAATAAAGGATAGAATCCTATATACCCTTTCCCCCAAGGATAGCCTTAGGGTCAGGAATATCTGGGTTCAGATTCTATTTCTGACATGTGCTGACAATGTGATTCTAGAGTTAAAAGATAAACCTTTAACCACTCAGTGCCTCGGGCAACTCTTTAAAATTATAAATTGCAGAACAGTTTCCAATCTGTATTGGTAGGGGTTTCTTCAACCTACCCAGGTGATCAGAGGTGCTGACCAAAAAAAAAATTAATAATGATAAGGTATTTCAGAATAATTAATGCTTTTTTTAAAAAGCCAAACCATAAACCTTAGTCACTCCTGCATTTGGAAAAATGCTTTGATTAGCAAGTACTTAAATTTTCCTAACCTGTACCAATTTCTCTCTCAGAATTGTATAGCTTAGGTGAGGATTGGGCCTTGCAAACTTTTCTGTTTTCCTTCAAGTATTTAGTCTAGCAGTATAAGAACAATAACTCACATTTCTAAAAGATCTGAGGCAGCTGGAGCCAGACTAACAGGATCCTTGGATTGTCAGAGTTAGAAGGGACTTCAGAGACCATCTATCCCAACCACACCTGAACAAGAATCCCTATGGTTTCC